ATGGAAGGAGGCACAAGCACCTCATCAACTTTGGGACCAACTGTCCCCAGGCCTAGCCACAAGCTAGGCATCTCTGGTCTGCCATCCCCTCCCAAGGGGACTAATGGGAATGACAGTCTTGTGGGGTGAAAGCTCGGGCTCTGGCACCTACCATGCCCTAGAAGGGTTAGGCATGGTGTCGATGCGAGAACTTACGTTGGTGTGGGAGACTCTAGGCTAATTTCATTCGTTGGTCACAGCACTCATAAATATGTTAACATATATTCATGTATCAATTAAATAAGGATTTAATATATATATATATATATATATATATATATATATATATATATATATATATATATATATATATATATATATATATATATATATATATATAAAATATATATATGTCGTGCCGAATAGGCAGAACTTCCCATCTTGGCTTAAATAGCAACGCTCATCTTGCCATATAGGACAAGTGAAAATTTGTGTATGCAATAATTTCGCCAAAATCATTCTGAACCTAACGGAAAAAATATATTTCACCGTGTTTGTTTAGTATTAAATTATTGTAAATAAATCTAAAATATATTTAGTTGGGTTAGGCTAAAATAAATTGTTCTTTCTATAATAAGGTTAGGTAATTTTTCTAAGATTCTTTTGGTGCAAAATTAATTTTTTTTACATTAACATTAATGAAAAATATATATCTTTAAACGTATAAGAGAAAATTTTAGAAAGGACTTAATTTTGGATGAGTTCTTGCTAATTGACCAGTTTTACATATTCGGCACGACATATATATATATATATATATATATATATATATATATATATATATATATATATATATATATATATATATATATATATATATATATATATATATATATATATATATATGTAGAGAGAATGGAGCGAAACAGAATGACTTCAAGAGTGTATCAGTCTGTAGTGGAAGGAAGGCGGGGTAGGGGTCGGCCTAGGAAGGGTTGGAGGGAGGGGGTAAAGGAGGTTTTGTGTGCGAGGGGCTTGGACTTCCAGCAGGCATGCGTGAGCGTGTTTGATAGGAGTGAATGGAGACAAATGGTTTTTAATACTTGACGTGCTGTTGGAGTGTGAGCAAAGTAACATTTATGAAGGGATTCAGGGAAACCGGCAGGCCGGACTTGAGTCCTGGAGATGGGAAGTACAGTGCCTGCACTCTGAAGGAGGGGTGTTAATGTTGCAGTTTAAAAACTGTACTGTAAAGCACCCTTCTGGCAAGACAGTGATGGAGCGAATGATGGTGAAAGTTTTTCTTTTTCGGGCCACCCTGCCTTGGTGGGAATCGGCCAGTGTGATAATAAAAAAAAATAAAAAATATATATATATATATTAAATCCTTATTTAAATGATACATGAATATATGTTTACATATTTATGAGTAATGCAGAAATTTACATTTATGTAGAACTGCAAAACATGTGGAAAAATCCCAATATAATTTGTGGCACTGCTGGCACGACGGTCAGGACCCCAAGACGCAGCACTAGGGGATGGAAAAATCTAGCTCTAGGCCTTGTGCATGGTTGAAAAACAGGAGAAATTCAATTTTGCGAGGGTTGGAATAGGTTGAAGAGAGAGAGAGAGAGAGCTGATATCAGTCACATAGACACCAGCAGCTAACATTGAAACCTTTCGTGTTTAAAGAAATGAATTCATGAAGAAAGTCACACCGGATATGTTGCTCCGTAAGTGGAATGAACTGGAATAACCATTAGATTTATTTCTGGCCACTAGAGGTACATAAGTTAACCTTGGATATATAAACAATCTACAAGCTGTTAAGGCTGTTAATTTATTTATCATATGAGGAAAACTTAATTATCATATCTGCTACCATTTTTTTTTCTTTTTGGTAGGAAAAAAATACTTCGGTGCAATATATAGTTTAGTTTAATATCTGTATTATGCATCCCATATATATCATGTGGGCGGTGATGCTATATATATATATATATATATATATATATATATATATATATATATAATATATATATATATATATATATATATTATATATATATATATAATATATATATATATATATATATATGTCGTGCCGAATAGGCAGAACTTGCGATCTTGGCTTAAATAGCAACGCTCATCTTGCCATATAGGACAAGCGAAAATTCGTGTATGCAATAATTTCGCCAAAATCATTCTGAACCTAACGAAAATAATACATTTCACTGTGTTTGTTTAGTAATAAATTATTGTAAACAAATCTAAAATATATTTAGTTGGGTTAGGCTAAAATAAATTGCTCTTGTTATAATAAGGTTAGGTAAGTTTTCTAAGATTCTTTTGGTGCAAAATTAGAATTTTTTACATTAACATTAATGAAAAAAATATATCTTTAAACATATAAGAGAAAATCTCAGAAAGGACTTAATTTTAAATGAGTTCTTGCTAATTGACCAGTTTTACATATTCGGCACGACATATATATATATATATAAAATATATATATATATATATAATATAATATATATATAATATATATATATATATTATATATATATATATATATATATATATATATATATATGTCGTGCCGAATAGGCAGAACTTGCGATCTTGGCTTAAATAGCAACGCTCATCTTGCCATATAGGACAAGTGAAAATTTGTGTATGCAATAATTTCGCCAAAATCATTCTGAACCTAACGAAAAAAATATATTTCACTGTGTTTGTTTAGTATTAAATTATTGTAAACAAATCTAAAATATATTTAGTTGGGTTAGGCTAAAATAAATTGCGCTTGTTATAATAAGGTTAGGTAAGTTTTCTAAGTTCCTTTTGGTGCAAAATTATAAATTTTTACATCAACATTAATGAAAAAAATATATTTTAAACGTATAAGAGAAAATTTTAGAAAGGACTTAATTTTAAATGAGTTCTTGCTAATTGACCAGTTTTACATATTCGGCACGACATATATATATGTATATATAATACATATATATATATAATATATATATATATATATAAAATATAATATATATATATATATATATATATATATATATTATATATTATATATATATATATATATATTATATATATATATATATATATATATATATATATATATATATATATATATATATATATATATATATATAATATATATATATATAATATATATATATTATATATATATATGGTTGATATGCCTTCTTTTCTTAAGACTTTTAATATCAAAGTTGCATTTAAAGATATTGATACAGTAAAAAAAACTTTTGATAAAGAATTGCCCCCAAAATGTTGACGGATGTGTCTACAAGATTCCTTGTAAAATTTGCGATAAAGTTTATTACGGTCAAATTGGTAAAAGTCTGGAACTAACATAAATATAGCATTAGAACTGGACAAGATTCTAATGCTCTATTTATTCATGTGAGAGATTTTAACCATCCAATTGATTTTCAAAAAGTTGAGAAAGTTGTATCAAGCAAGTCCATGGTCGACAGGAATATAATTGAATCATGTTTCATGAAAAGAAATTTTGAAAATAATATAAATATTTCCTTTGGTTTATATAAATTTGATTCATTATAATTAATAAAATTTGTGAAGAATTTAATAATACATTGAACAAATAATGAGTCTTAATTCTTGGGTAGAGTACTAGGGTTGGGCAAATATTTTGTTAGTAGGATGGACTGCGAATGACCTGCCTAGTATGAGCCACCAGGCCTGCTGCAGTGTTCCTCCTTTCTTGTGAATCTGGTGTCGTCACGCATCAGGTGTTTCTTTGTTGTGGGATGTGATGGTGAGATGCAGTCTTGACCCTTTATATGCCTTCCTTTGATGTATTGTTTTTATAGTTCCTTGATAATGTGAGAAGTAACGAAAGCGCTTAGAATTTCACTATTCTTTCTCAGTGGTTGTATATATATATATATATATATATATATATATATATATATATATATATATATATATATATATATATATATATATATATATATGTCGTGCTGAATATGTAAAACTGGTCAATTAGCAAGAACTCATTTAAAATTAAGTCCTTTCTAAAATTTTCTTTTATACGTTTAAAGATATATTTTTTCATTATTGTTGATGTAAAAATTTATAATTTTGCACCAAAAGGAACTTAGAAAACTTACCTAACCTTATTATAACAAGAACAATTTATTTTAGCCTAACCCAACAAAATATATTTTAAATACGTTTATAATAATTTAGTACCAAACAGACACAATCAAATATATTTTTTTCGTTAGGTTCAGAATGATTTTGGCGAAATTATTGCATACACAAATTTTTACTTGTCCTATATGACAAGATGAACGTTGCTATTTAAGCCAAAATCGTAAATTCTGCCTATTCTGCACGACATATATATATAATATATTATATATATATATATATATATATATATATATATATATATATATATATAATATATATATATATATATATATATATATATATATGTACTCACCTAGTTGTACTCACCTAGTTGAGGTTGCGGGGGTCGAGTCCGAGCTCCTGGCCCCGCCTCTTCACTGATCGCTACTAGGTGTGTGTGTGTGTTGTGTGTGTGTGTGTGTGTGTGTGTGTGGTGTGTGTGTGTGTGTGTGTGTTACATATTTCCAGATCGGGTTTCATCTTCAATAAAGATATTTATATATCAGTTTGCCAAATAAAAAAAATATGGAGCAACGGATCAAATTTCAGCCTTCGTAAAAAAATTAAAGACACTTTACAGGCATTTAATTCTTAATACTCTAATTAGAGTGAAATGACTATGTAAATTAGGGTTTGATCTGCACATATCAGTAACCTTTGCCCTTTTATAAGCTTGTAAAATAGCTAACTCTAACTCGGGATCCTGTTTGCTTAAGTCAGATTTTTTTTTACATACTTCGTATGGACTGCTTTAATTTCCGGAGTAGAGGGAATGTGTTGACCTTCATGTTGACGCCACCCCTGAGTGCCCTGTTGGCTGGACCACACGCTGGGGTATATAAGGTAGTGCCAAGGCACCAGTCATCATCTTCCGTGCCAGCTCCTCGCCCTTTTAGCAGCAGCAAGCGATACTCAGCTCCCCGCTCCTGTAGCAGCAGCAGCAAGCAATACTCAGCTCCACGCTCCTGCAGCAGCAGCAGCAAGCAATACTCAGCTCCACGCTCCTGTAGCAGCAGCAGCAAGCGATACTCAGCTCCACGCTCCTGTAGCAGCAGCAGCAGCAAGCAATACTCACTCCGCCGTCATGAAGTTGGTGAGTTAGTGACGCTGAGCATGTGCTTCAGAGAGCAGACCTTCAATTGGGGGGCCTGAATATACCGAAGGGCTCTGGATGAATTAAAACTGCCTTTCCTTTCCTTTGATCAGACCTGATTTATCTCTCACTGCCCTAGAGGTGTATGACTCTTTCGACTTCATCAGGTACCCGAGAATATTTATATATACAAAAATCAAGGAATCAGGTATTCATTTCTAGCCCATGACACCGACTCAGAGAGGGAATACTGACAAATTTCTCCTGACGCTAGTCTCAACTATATTACTACCCACTCAGAGGGCCGATAGGGAAGATATATATCTGAAAGTGAGAACTCTGTGCATATACCCTTAACACTGTAAAGCAGGAAAATAAACTGAGAGACAACAGACGATGGCACTGATATATAAGAACAAGGTAGCCTAAGGCGGAGACCAAAAGTTATACAACATCTGACGTGTGTGATCCCGGCTTCCTCACATTGTCTTGTAGAGGAACTAATGTAAATAGTGAAATTTGATAATGTCATATAAAGAGATATGTGGGCGCTTCGATCCCCTCCTTCGAAGTCACTGAGCTACCAATGACGATATCCTCATATCCTCAGCGAAATTCATATGTCAGTCTGACAGATTTTAACATTATGTATGCATATAACCCATCCTAGTTGATGAAATATTACAAGGAAACATACTTAGCTTTTGTTCACATTATTTACCTGTCAAAGAGAATACTGTAGCAACATATTACTTACATATCTTATATGGTAAATAGAAAACGTCCAGTTAGCAGGACATTACTGACAAAAGATAATGTGCAAAATGTTGTGGGATGCTTGGGGATGTGTATAACAACACGGTCTGCCACAATAACAGGAAAATCAGCTTAAATATTTATATATTTGTTTCTCCTCAGGTAATATTGGTGACGTCAGTGTTGTTGATCCTCAGTGTTGGGATGATGGCTGTCCACGCTATGCCTGAACCCATCTTTAAGTTTAAAAAGTTTAAGAAAGGCGGTGGCTATGGTGGCTATGGTGGCTATGGTGGCTATGGAGGCTATGGTGGCTATGGAGGCTACGGCGGCTATGGTGGCTACGGCGGCTATGGAGGCTATGGTGGTTACGGCGGCTATGGAGGCTACGGGAAGTACGGCGTCAGCGGCTATGGCGGGTACGGCGGGTACGGGGTACGGTGGGTTTGGTGGCTATGGTTACGGGGGCGGCTATTATTAATCTAGCCAGGAAGGAGTGTAACAACTTTCTAACACGACTTCTTTGTAACTCCTGTGTGTGGTCTGCCAGGGCGCAGTGAAGTGGCCTCTATGTCCGCTCTGCTGGGGCAGTGAAGCGGCCTCTATGTCCGCTCTGCTGGGATCTTAAGCTGAGTAGTCAGTTTTTCTATGTAATATTTATCATTCTCAACATTCACAGATGTATGTCATTCACTTCCATTATGACCAGGTTTAAGTTTGTTTTTCTTCTTGTACTGCAGTTTAATAATGTTAGTAACTAAGTATGGTAATTTATGCTAATAAATCTATTCCTTAGAAGCATTTCTTTTTCTTTATCTCTCTAACAATAATAAAGAATGATGCAATCCACTTCAATCTCGACTGCTGTCTGTAGGACAGACATCGATAACGCTCTTGACGAGGCTCTAAGTCTTGGATGTTTCCACTGGAACCACATTTCTTCGTTGTAGCCATTGGCTACACCACTTCTGTTTAATAAACAGCAGATGCCACCGTCCTCTGTTACTTGCCTAGCTTCAGCACAGGACCAGTCGTGCCCTGAGTGCTTAGTACAATCATCAGCCGGTCATAGGCACATATTGAGTCTCAATCAGAGGATCAGTGAAACTTTTATTGCCTGACTAAAAGCCAGAATAATATTGGAACATTTCTCAAGAATGTGGAGCCTTTGCCTTGTCACCTGAGTTGGAGCTGTCTGTTTGTTCAAGTGTTACCAGCTGCCTCACGTTACTGTACACGCGGCATCTCAGAGCATATGGGTAGATTGTTCCGTACTGGCCTTTCCATGGAACATCATCTAAGAGATTGCACCTCATGTCTCTGAATCCCTGTTAATTGTCAGAATGAGGAATCGACTGAACAGCTTCATTACATCTATTCGACTGCTCACCCAATGATATATTTTATGCATGAGTATATAAGTTGGTGTTGGTGTAAATGATTGACTAGGTTTTGAAATATTCTTAGTTTTTTGTATGTACCTTAGATATAAATTTAATGACCTTGTTTAAATAGAACGTTTTTGTTTGTGGTAATGACCAACTATGCTTCTTGATAATCGCTTCATATAAAGTATAAACCTATAATAAAGAGTTTTACAGTTCCGCACAAAAGACTGTTACAGAAACTAGCGAAGAAAGGAGTAACTGGGAGGGAATTACACTGGATAAGGGAGTACCCGGACCACAATTTAGAGTCATGGTGATGTGAAGATTCTCGGTGGAGTCACCCAAGGTTCCTCTTCCATCCTCTTTGTGAAATACAGTACATAAATGATTTACAGGGAGGAATAAAGTCATTGTTATCATTACTCGCAGACGAAGTAAAAAAAAACTGTAATGAGAAGAGTATAAACGGAGAAATTCTGCAAGAAACATCAAAGACATACTATTGGCCAGGTTTTACGAAAGATTAAAATGTTCAGTAACGAGAATGGGAGGAGAGGACGAGACATGTCATGTTGTATCACAAAGCAGATGTACGCCTGACATAAACAATAAAAAGACATTAAATGTCACATGAAACAGAGCATAGTTTGTAAGGTTCAATACCTGTCGACCTCACTTGGGCCATTTAAAGCTCCAGTTCACATAAACATATAAACACATGTATATACTTTCACCCAGAAACTAGTAAAATCTCAGTGTATACACTGAGAGATAAATGGCTCTATGTGTAAACATAGAAAGATACACACTTCACTTCATGCATGCAATGAAAAGCATAAACCCTTTTGAAATATAAACACATCTCAGTGAACAGACACTGAGAGATACACACTGTCCTTTGAATATTCACTGAAGGATACACATCTTACGATACACATACCTTGATGACACATAGAGCAACTTACGTACTTTCAGTGTGCCGGAGATTACAACCTGCCATACCCCGGCCGGGATTGAACCCGCGGTCAGAGAGTCTCAAAACTCCAGCCCGTCGCGTTAGCCACTAGATCAGCTAGCCACAATAAGATTCGTCCAACTAGGTATATTTCTACACCATAGGACGAATCTTATTGTGGCTAGCTGGTCTAGTGGCTAACGCGACGGGCTGGAGTTTTGAGACTCTCTGACCGCGGGTTCAATCCCGGCCGGGGTATGGTTTGTTTGCAATCGTGTCATTACGATTTCGTGAGTCATTACAACCTGCCTATGCACATACTGGATTTTCTCGTTACGATTGTTACCTGGCGTTTATGAGGTCATTATAATAGAAACTAAAGTAATAAATAATAATAATAATAATAATTATAATAATAATAATAATAATAATAATTATAATAATAATAATAATAATAATAATTATGGTTAAAAATAATCAATCATTCACTACTTTATACACTAATCTCAGCCACAGATTGTGGCGCAGGTGAGCAAGCAGGCTTAGATAAACACTGGAGAGTCAAGGACAATACAAGCAGCTTGAGTAAATAACAGTGGCTAGATGGGATAGGGGAATTTACCAGGCCGAACGAACCCCCCCCCCCCTTAACAAAGCATATTCTGCTTGTTCCATTTTTTTTTTTTTTCAAGCTTCAACTGATTGTGATGAACTTAGTGGAAGTTAAATGAAATATTAGCTGGTTTCAAATCACTTGTATGCTTTTAAGTGCATGTGGATAAAGATACGTCTGCAAAATTCGAGACATTTATTGAGGAAACGTTTTGCCACGAGTGGCTTCCTGAGCCCTGACAAAGTGTATTGTTCTACCTGTCGGGAACGTAGCACCGTAAGTGTTCGTGAGGGTGGCATGCAGCCAGTTTATAATAGATACCAACTCTTTAACTTCTGTCAGAGACTTGGAAAGAAGCAAAGAAACTGACAACACAATTACAAGTCTAGGAGTTTGTATCATACATTATGAGGTATATGTTAAGACGTATGTGGGCAGAGCGCGAAGTTCACTGGAACTAAGAATATAAATATGTAACTGTGACGACCAGAGAAATGCTCATGTCCAACACAGAAGCATAAATGACCTTCCCATGAAATGGGAGAGACTAGCTAGTAATACGAGGAGACAATTTACACCAACTAAAATGTTTAGAAACTGCCATGATAACAGCAACCAGCACTGTCCCATAAAAATGGTAGTTATATCATTTCTAAGGTTTAGGTAAATTTACTGCTACCCCACTTGAATACTGTAATTGGATAACACCAACCGGAGAGATATTATCTGGTCCTTCTACAATAGAGGCATCTAGCTCGCATTCGAGGTATTTAGAAGTTTCTGCAGCTGCGTCCCTGTTGTGTGTATTGTGTCCAACACTTGATGGTGCACTTTACCAGTTTGGTTTGACGGTTGCCTTTCTGTCTCTGAGAATACCTCCAAAAATCCCATGCTGAGCTCTTCATAGACTTCCTGATCATTTCTTGTTAGCTCCCTACCTACCTTCTCTATCCCTGACTGTTGTCTTCCTCCTGTTGCGTCGGATTTGGCTTTCGATGCCATGTCATTCTCAAATTGCCGATGAGCCTTCCTTTCTATCACTGACTACTCGTTTCTGGCTCTTCGGCTCAGCTCACTCTGGGGCTCACTCTAGTCTTCTCATTGCTTCTATTTCTCCTGGGTACGAACTTCTCGTCAGCCTTTCTTCACTTTCTCCATCATCTCATTCACTGTCTTACCCTCTAGTTCTCTCTCCCACTGCACCTCATACAGGAACTGTCTCATGCCTGCATAATCTCCTCTTCTAGAGTTTGGCTTCTCACCTTTCCTTTACTGCTTCATTCTCCATTGTTAATTCCACAAGGTATTCGAAACTCAGGACCGCGCATGTGTGTGTGTGTGTGTGTGTGTGTGTGTGTGTGTGTGTGTGTGTGTGTGTGTGTGTGTGTGTGTGTGTGTGTGCGTGTGTGTGTGTGTGTGTGTGTACTCACCTGTTGTACTCACCTAGTTGAGGTTGCAGGGGTCGAGTCCAAGCTCCTGGCTCCGCCTCTTCACTGGTCGCTACTAGGTCACTTTCCCTGAACCGTGAGCTTTATCGTACCTCTGCTTAAAGCTATGTATGGATCCTGCGACGACTACATCCCTTCCCAAACTATTCCACTTCCTGACTACTCTGTGACTGAAGAAATACTTCCTAACATCCCTGTGATTCATCTGTGTCTTCAACTTCCAGCTGTGTCCCCTTGTTGCTGTGTCCCATCTCTGGAACATCCTGTCTTTGTCCACCTTGTCAATTCCTCTCAGTATTTTGTATGTCGTTATCATGTCCCCCCTATCTCTCCTGTCCTCCAGTGTCGTCAGGTTGATTTCCCTTAACTTCTCCTCGTAGGACATTCATCTTAGCTCTGTAACTAGTCTTGTTGCAAACCTTTGCACTTTCTCTAGTTTCTTTACGTGCTTGGCTAGGTGTGGGGTTCCAGACCGGTGCCGCATACTCCAATATGGGCCTAACGTACACGGTTTACAGGGTCCTGAACGATTCCTTATTAAGATGTCGCAATGCTGTTCTGAGATTTGCTAGGCGCTCATATGCTGCAGCAGTTATTTGGTTGAAGTGCTCTTCAGGAGATGTGTCTGGTGTTATACTACCCCAAGATTTTTTTCCTTGAGTGAGGTTTGTAGTCTCTGGCCCCCTAGACTGTACTCCGTCTGCGGTCTTCTTTGCCCTTCCCCAATCTTCATGACTTTCTACTTGGTGGGGTTGAACTCCAGAAGCCAATTGCTGGACCAGGTCTGCAGCCTGTCCAGATCCCTTTGTAGTTCTGCCTGGTCTTCGATCGAATGAATTCTTCTCATCAACTTCACGTCATCTGCAAACAGGGACACTTCGGAGTCTATTCCTTCCGTCATGTCGTTCACAAATACCAGAAACAGCACTGGTCCTAGGACTGACCCCTGTGGGACCCCGCTGGTCACAGGTGCCCACTCTGACACCTCGCCACGTACCATGACTCGCTTCTGTCTTCCTGACAAGTATTCCCTGATCCATTGTAGTGCCTTCCCTGTTATCCCTGCATGGTCCTCCAGATTTTGCACTAATATCTTGTGTTGAACTGTGTCAAACACCTTCTTGCAGTCCAAGAAAATACAATCCACTCACCCCTATCTCTCTTGTCTTACTGCTGTCACCATGCCGTAGAACTCCAGTAGGTTTGTGACACAGGATTTCCCGTCCCTGAAACCATGTTGGCTGCTGTTGATGAGATCATTCCTTTCTAGGTGTTCCACCACTCTTCTCCTGATAATCTTCTCCATGACTTTGCATACTATACATGTCAGTGACACTGGTCTGTAGATTAGTGCTTCATGTCTGTCTCGTTTTTAAAAGATTGGGAATATATTTGCTGTCTTCCATGCCTCAGGCAATCTCCCTGTTTCGATAGATGTATTGAATATTGTTGTTAGGGGTACACATAGCGCCTCTGCTCCCTCTCTCAGGACCCATGGAGAGATGTTATCCGGCAACATTGCCTTTGAGGTATCTAGCTCACTCAGAAGCCTCTTCACTTCTTCCTCGGTTGTGTGTATTGTGTCCAGCACTTGGTGGTGTACCCCACCTCTCCGTCTTTCTGGAGCCCCTTCTGTCTCCTCTGTGAACACTTCTTTGAATCTCTTGTTGAGTTCCTCACATACTTCACGGTCATTTCTTGTTGTTTCTCCTCCTTCCTTCCTTAGCCTGATTACCTAGTCCTTTACTGTTGTTTTCCCCCTGATGTGGCTGTAAAACAGCTTTGGGTCAGATTTGGCTTTCGCTGCTATGTCGTTTTCATATTGTCGTTGGGCGTCCCTTCTTATCTGTGCATATTCATTTCTGGCTCTACGACTGCTCTCCTTATTCTCCTGGGTTCTTTGCCTTCTATATTTCTTCCATTCCCTAGCACACTTGGTTTTTGCCTCCCTGCACCTTTGGGTGAACCATGGGCTCATCCTGGCTTTTTCATTATTCCTGTTACCCTTGGGTACAAAACTTTCCTCAGCCTCCTTGCACATGGTTGTTACATATTCCATCATCTCATTAACTGGCTTCCCTGCCAGTTCTCTGTCCCACTGAACCCCGTTCAGGAAGTTTCTCATTCCCGTGTAGTCCCCTTTCTTGTAGTTTGGCTTCATTCGCCCTGGCCTTCCTGCTTCCCTCTCCACTTGTAGCTCTACTGTGTATTCGAAGCTTAAAACCACATGATCGCTGGCCCCAAGGGGTCTTTCATATGTGATGTCCTCAATATCTGCACTACTCAAGGTGAATACTAGGTCCAGTCTTGCTGGTTCATCCTCTCCTCTCTCTCTTGTAGTGTCCCTTACGTGTTGGTACATGAAGATTTCCAGTACCACCTCCATCATCTTAGCCCTCCATGTATCTTGGCCCCCATGTGGCTCCATGTTCTCCCAATCGATTTCCTTGTGGTTAAAGTCACCCATGATCAGGAGCTTTGCCATGCATGCATGAGCTCTTCTACCCACTGCATCCAGTGTGTCAACCATCGCTCTATTGCTCTCATCATACTCTTGCCTTGGCCTCCTGCTGTTCTGTGGTGGGTTATACATCACTGCAATTACCACTTTGGGACCTCTAGAGTGAAGCGTTCCTGCAATGTAATGTGTGTGTGTGTGTGTGTGTGTGTGTGTGTGTGTGTGTGTGTGTGTGTGTGTGTGTGTACTCACCTAATTGTTGTTGCAGGGGTCGAGACTCAGCTCCAGGCCCCGCCTCTTCACTGACCGCTACTAGGTCCTCTCCCTCTCTGCTTCCTGAGCTTTGTCATACCTCTTCTTAAAACTATGTATGGTTCCTGCCTCCACTACTTCACTTGCTAGGCTATTCCACTTCCTGACGACTCTATGACTGAAGAAATATCCTAACGTCCCTGTGACTCGTCTGAGTCTTCAGCTTCCAGTTGTGACCCCTTGTTTCTGTGTCCCCTCTCTGGAACATCCTATCTCTGTCCACCTTGTCTATTCCCCGCAGTATCTTGTATGTCGTTATCATGTCTCCCCTGACCCTTCTGTCCTCCAGTGTCGTCAGTCCGATTTCCCTCAACCTTTCCTCGTACGACATTCCCCTGAGCTCTGGGACTAGCCTTGTTGCAAACCTTTGTACTTTCTCTAAGTTCTTGACGTGCTTGACCAGGTGTGGGTTCCAGACTGGTGCTGCATACTCCAGTATGGGCCTAACATACACAGTGTACAGTGTCTTGAACGATTCCTTATTAAGGTATCGGAACGCTATTATCAGGTTTGCCAGGGGCCCGTATGTGTGTGTGTGTGTGTGTATGTGTGTGTGTATGTGTGTGTCTGTGTGTCTGTGTGTCTGTGTGTGTATGTGTGTGTGTGTGTGTGTGTGTGTGTGTGTGTGTGTGTGTGTGTGTGTGTGTGTTTGTGTGGTGTCTGTGTGTGTGTCTGTGTGTGTATCTGTGTGTATGAGTGTGTGTGTGTGTGTGTGTCTGTGTGTGTGTCTGTGTGTGTGTGTGTGTGTGTGTGTATGTGCGTGTGTGTGTGTGTCTGTGTGTGTGTGTGTATGTGTGTGTCTGTGTCTATGTGTGTGTATATGTGTTTTTTTCTGTCTGTCCGTCAGTCTGTCTGTCTGCCTGTCTGTCTGCCTGTCTGCCTGCCTGTCTGTCTGCCTGTATGTACAATATAAAGACTGTTTAATGGTAAAAACTCTACTTGGAGATCATAAAGCGGCGTCACACTGAGGCTGAAATATAACTCTCTTATTCCTCTGCTATTGCGCTGAGGAGTATCTTAGTATCTCCTGTTTGCATTGTTTTTATGTAAATTTGTCTGTTTCTCATATATACAGATCTTACAGAGGTGATATTCTTTAATCACTGAGCAATTTGCCTGTTTAGGAAGTAGCGTCGCATGTGATTTCTACAATCTATTTGTCTTATACTTGCTCTTCATCCTGCCTACACCTTAACACTGGAGGCGGAGGCTGGATGACTTCTGTTTTGAGTGCTTGAGATCAGCCTTATCATTCAGTAAATATTTGATTTTATAATCAAAGTTGCCACTAGTGTTTGTTTTCCACAAAACGTCTTCCTCATTTCAAGGATAGAACATTCGTGCCTTGCAGAATTTTATGATGTTTTCCAATAACACGTTAATGAGTTAATGAGAGCAGGAACTGAGTGACCTTGGTGCTGTAGCCGTTCCTGGAGCTTCTTAAGAGAGGACAAGACGCTGGGGTATATAATGTTGTGCAGAGGTGCCAGCAGCATCTTCATTCCCTGTACGACTCCCCGGCAGCAGGAGCAGCCAACACTCTCACAAACATCATGAAGCTGGTAAGTGAGCACCTTATTCTTTTCACTTTCTGTTTAAGTGAACGGACATGAGCCTGTCTACAAGATTAGGTCTTTTTTGTATCGCTATTATTGGACGGAGGCTCGAGCCTCGACCAATCTTTACCCTGAATGATCTAGACAGGTTTAAGGATTCTTTTAACCACAACGGACATTTACACCCCCCTCCCCCCAAAAAATAAAAAATGAGGAAACATTCATTCAAGAGCTACCTTGCCAGAAGTGCACAGACATCACAACTCCGATGACCCCAAGCTTCAGAGTACAGGCACTGTACTACCCATCTCTACCTCTCTAACCACAGTACAGGTACTGTACTACCCATCTCTACCTCTCTAACCACAGTACAGGCACTGTACTACCCATATCTACCTCTCTAACCACAGTACAGGTACTGTACTACCCATCTCTACCTCTCTAACCACAGTGCAGGTACTGTACTACCCATCTCTACCTCTCTAACCACAGTACAGGTACTGTACTACCCATCTCTACCTCTCTAACCACAGTGCAGGCACTGTATGTTGCCCTCTCCTCCGTTCTTCAGTCAGTGTTAATGGTAGAATTATCGACAAAATGTTATTGTGGCAACGTTTCGCTATCCAGGAGCTTGACAAAGCTCCTTGATAGTTGCATTTGTGTCCATTTACCTAACATTCTTCCATCAGGTTACAAGCACTGTACTGCCCACCTAAACCCCACCATCAAAGTGCAGGTACTGTACTTAAACCTTCAGGACTCGAGTTCGGCTAACTGGTTTCCCAGTGGATAATTCAAGCGAAAATAGATTTAAATAGATTTATTGTTTTTTCTTAATATTATGCCATATACATTCTACTGAATCCTCAGAACCAAAACATTCTGTGTCAATTAACCCGAGGCTGAATCATGCCTACAGGATAGTGAAACCCAGATTCACGTGACTCTCACGGTATTCTGTAATTAACAGGATGTTACCTTCACCACACTGTAAAATTCCAGTTTAGAAATATTCAGGCATTGAATTTCGACACCTGACAAGTGCTCAATTGACAGCAGCAGGTGCTCAAACGAGACGATTGTCAAGCCTTCTGGGAAGGTATCAGTTAGATGCAGGTAAATGATATTGACGATGAGAGAATTAATTAATCTTTGTGTCCTGATATATCAGCCTCAGTGCACTGTCATATAAATCTCTGTATATAGTCATATAAATATCTGTGCCGTAATATAAATCTCAGTATACTACCATATAAATCTCTGTTTATAGTCATATTAACCTCTGTACCGTGTAAATCTCAGTAAACTGCCATATAAATTTCTGTGTACAGTCATGTAAATTTCTGTACCATCATATGGAATCTCTATTTTCCATCATGTCAACTTTTGTTTACAGTTATTTCAAACTATGTTGACCGCTGTATAAACTTCTGAATCTTTCTCATTTTTCAACAAATCCGCCGTATCCCACCGAGGCAGGGTGACCCAAAAAGAAAAACGAAAGTTTCTCTTTTTAAATTTAGTAATGTATACAGCAGAAGGGGTTATTATCCGCTTGCAAACCTCTGAATAATATCATAAAATAATTCTGTGGATATCTTATTGTCATCTGCTACACCAGAAATTTGAATAAATCCCAGGTAAACCAGGAATTGTTTTCCATACATGTGGAAGGGTTTCAAGGTGCACCAGGTAGGCTTCCCAGGTACACTAGGAAGAGTTTTTAGACGCATAAAAAATTTTTCTTATGTACTGTATTCATACGAATGGCTGTTAGGTATACTAAGAACAGGAATGGGTAGAGGCAAAGACTCCTGTCTGACCTTACACTGTGGTATACGTGAGAGTGAAACAATTATAAGAGGTATACAGTACCGACAAGTTACATAACATGGAGACACAATGATCCTTTACTAAGACAGTGTTTCACCTGGAGACAAAAAAAAAAAAATCTGGATCTGGGTACATATTTAGCTCATATTTTTCAACCTGCTTAATAACCATAATCTCTAGTGACCGTCCTATTAGTCAGCTCATTTTCCTCAGGTCTCCTAACGATACATTTAATGAATAATGTGGTGTTTCTGGCTCGGTGTGTTTGCTTTGTAAATTGATTGTTCCACCGAGTGTTAACACTGTTGATGAAATGGACACATGTGTAATACCAAGGTATGACACATGTGTCTTATTCATCAACTTTTCCGTATTATATTTCTGATCTATGGCTAACTTTGACCCATGTTTAGTATACGTGATATTGCAGCAAATCTTGGCAAATTTCTTTCTCGAATTTCAAGCCAAATGATATATATATATTCAATGATAATGAGTTCGTTTTTCATTAGTATTCATGAATTCAAGAGAACAAGGTTTTTCAAAGAATTTTTGGTCCAGATTGTAATTATTGTTTCCAATTTCCCCTCTCGCTATTTGTTCAGTCTAAAAGTTTTTATCACCTGAACAATATAAATTAAGCAGTTTACAATGCTGCTTTGACAGTCAAGTTTTTATTTAACTAATTTTTTTTTCTATCTTTCAGCTATCATTGATACTTTACATCACACTGGTCCTGAGTGCCGTGCTAGCGGTAAGTGTGGCTATGCCAGAGGCCATCCCCGACCCGGCAGCTATCGCCGATGCGAACCCAAACCCCGATCCGGCGGCTAGCGCGACCCCTGGAAGAAGAAGGGTGGACGATGCTGTGGCGGTGGCTACAGGCGGGGCTACGGCGGCTACCGTCGAGGCTACTGGGGTCGATGAAGACTGCTTGACATTCTGCCTTTAACGATGATGGAGTTATAGTTCTCGCTTGCTCAGACGTTTTCCCTCTAGTCAGGAACTATCTAGCAAGTCTTACTCTCATATATATATATATATATATATATATATATATATATATATATATATATATATATATATATATATATATATATATATATATATATATATATATATATATATATATAAGCCAATTACTTCCTTTTTCTGACGTATATTAGTTATATTGTGTCTCCTTACGTATATACACATAACTGCTTCTCCTGATGCAATTCAGCTATATACATGGCTGAATGTATATGAATATTATACCACATGTTTCTTATAATACAGAGTTGCAGAATTATCAGTTCTCTTCAAAAAATTTATCTCCATACTTGGTCGATGTTTTGGATCCTTCATTCACCATTATCAACTTTCCCGTTCAGTAAAAAAAAAAAAATCGTTTTGAACGTGAGTCTACGTATGTAGACAACACCTGACTGTACGCATGCAGACAACACCTGAGTATACGCATGCAGACAACACCTGAGTGTACGTATGCAGACAACTGAATTTATATAGACAACACCTGAGTGTACGTATGCAGACAGCATCTGCGAATACATTTGCAGACAAGACCTGAAAAACTTCAATGAGTTGTGAAACTGGCCAGCATAACAATGCACAACCGAGGGGCGGCTTTTATGAACGATACATTAAACTCAAAAACGTCTTAATGATGATGATGATGATGATGATGATGATGATGATGATGATGATGATGATGATGATGATGATGATGATGATGATGATGATGATGATGATGATGATGATGATGATGATGATGATGATGATGATGATGATGCTGATGCTGATGCTGATGCTGCTGCTGCTGCTGCTGCTGCTGCTGCTGCTCACTCGTGCTGAGGCCCACCTGGTGTCCTCTCACCCCTATATGTCAACAGGTCGAGTGTGTGAGGCACAGTGGTGGGTGAGTGGGAATGTGTGACGATGGTAGGCGTGTCTTGAGAGTGTGCGTTCATGGTGGGTGAGTGGGAATGTGTGACGATGGTAGGCGTGTCTGAGAGTGTGCGTCATGGGGGCATGGGAATGGTGACGATGGTAGGCTGTCTGAGAGTGCGATCATGGGGTAGTGGAATGTGTGACGAGAGGCGGTCGAGAGTGCGATCATGTGGGAGTGGAAGGTTACGTGGTAGGCGTGTCTGAGAGTGTGCGTTCATGGTGGGTGATGAGATGTGTGACATGGTACGTGCTTGAAGTCGATCATGGGGTGATGGGAGTGTTACTGCGTATGGCGTGCTGAGAGTGCGTTTCATGTGGGTGAGTGGGAATGTTGACAATGTAGCTGTCTAGAGTGCGATCATGTGGGTGAGTGGAATGTTGACGATGGAGCTGTGAGATGTGCTTATGTGGTGATGGAATGTGTGACATGTAGCGTGTCTAGAGTGCGATCATGGTGGTATGGGAATGTTGACATGTAGCGTTCTATAGTAGTGTTCATGTGGGTGATGGATATGTGGACGATGTAGCCTGTCTGAGAGGCGTTCATGTGGGTGAGTGAATGTGTCGACGATGTAGCGTTTGAGAGTGATGCGTTCATGTGGTGAGTGGAATGTTGCGATGTAGCTGTCTGAGATGCGTTATGATGATTAGTAGAATGTGTGCGATGATAGGCGTGCTGAGAGTGCGTTCATGGTGGTAAGTGGGAAATGTTGACAAGGTACGTCTGAGGTGCGTTCATGTGGGTGATGGAATGTGTACATGCAGCTGATCTGAGAGTGCGTTCATGGTGTGAGTGAAATTGGAGAAATGTAGGCGTGTCTGAGAGTGGTCAGTATGGTGAATGAATGGTGACGTGTAGGCATGCAGAGAGCTGGTTACGTCATGTGGGTGATGGAATGATGTGTACGTGTAGCGGTCGAGAGTGCGTTCATATTATGATAGACATGTTGACGTGTAGCGTTTGCAGAGTGCGTTCATTGTGGTAATGGAATGTTGACGAGAGAAGCGTCTGAAGTGATGCTTCAATGGTGGTGAATGGAATGTGTGACGATGGCAGCTGTCTGAAGTGCGTCATGGGGCTGGGTGTTTGACGATGTACTGTCTAAGAAGTGCTTCATGGTGGGTGATGTGAATGTGTTATGAGATGTAGGCTGTCTGAGAGTGGTTCATGGTGGGTGAGATGGGAATGTGTGATCGATGGTATGTCTGAGATGCGTTCATGATGGGTGAGTAGATGTGTGGCGATGGTAGCGTGTCTGAGTGTGTCTGGTGGCGAGTGGAATGTGTCACGATGGTAGGCGTGTCATGAGGAGTACGTTCAAGGCTGAGTGGAATGTTGACAGGTAGGGTGTCTGAGAGTGCTTCAGTGGTGGGTGAGTGGGAATGTGTGACGATGGTAGGCGTGTCTGAGAGTGCGTTCATGGTGGGTGAGTGGGAATGTGTGACGATGGTAGGCGTGTCTGAGAGTGTGCGTTCATGGTGGGTGAGTGGGAATGTGTGACGATGGTAGGCGTGTCTGAGAGTGCGTTCATGGTGGGTGAGTGGGAATGTGTGACGATGGTAGGCGTGTCTGAGAGTACGTTCATAGTGGGTGAGTGGGAATGTGTGACGATGGTAGGCGTGTCTGAGAGTGTGCGTTCATGGTGGGTGAGTGGGAATGTGTGACGATGGTAGGCGTGTCTGAGAGTGCGTTCATGGTGAGTGAGTAGGAATGTGTGACGATGGAGGCGGTCTGAGAGTGGCGTTCTTTGGTGGGTGAAGTGGGAATGTGTGACGAAGGTAGGCGCTGTCTGAGAGTGCGTTCATGGTGGGTGAGTGGGAATGTGTGACGATGGCAGGCGTGTCTGAGAGTGCGTTCATGATGGGTGAGTGGGAATGTGTGACGATGGTAGGCGTGTCTGAGAGTGCGTTCATGGTGGGTGAATGGGAATGTGTTACGATGGTAGGCGTGTCTGAGAGTGCGTTCATGGTGGGTGAGTGGGAATGTGTGACGATGGTAGGCGTGTCTGAGAGTGCGTTCATGGTGGTGAATGGGAATGTGTTGGATGGTAGGCGTGTCTGAGTGTGTTCATGGTGGGCGAGTGGGAATGTGTGACGATGGTAGGCGTGTCTGAGAGAGTACGTTCAAGGTGCGTGAGTGGGAATGTGTGACGATGGTAGGCGTGTCTGAGAGTGCGTTCATGGTGCGTGAGTGGGAATGTGTGACGATGGTAGGCGTGTCTGAGAGTGCGTTCATGGTGGGTGAGTGGGAATGTGTGACATGGTAGGCGTGTCTGAGAGTGCGTTCATGGTGGGTGAGTGGGAATGTGTGACGATGGTAGGCGTGTCTGAGAGTGCGTTCATGGTGGGTGAATGGGAATGTGTTACGATGGTAGGCGTGTCTGAGAGTGCGTTCATAGTGGGTGAGTGGGAATGTGTGACGATGGTAGGCGTGTCTGAGAGTGCGTTCATGGTGGGTGAGTGGGAATGTGTGGCGATGGTAGGCGTGTCTGAGTGTGTTCATGGTGGGCGAGTGGGAATGTGTGACGATGGTAGGCGTGTCTGAGAGTGGTTCATGGTGGGTGAAGGGAATGTGTTAACGATGGTAGGCGTGTCTGAGAGTGCGTTCATGGTGCGTGAGTGGGAATGTGTGACGATGGTAGGCGTGTCTGAGAGTGCGTTCATGGTGGGTGAGTGGGAATGTGTGCGATGGTAGGCGTGTCTGAGTGTGTTCATGGTGGGCGAGAGGGAATGTGTGACGATGGTAGGCGTGTCTGAGAGTGCGTTCATGGTGCGTGAGTGGGAATGTGTGACGATGGTAGGCGTGTCTGAGAGTGCGTTCATGGTGGATGAATGGGAATGTGTGACGATGGTAGGCGTGTCTGAGAGTGTGCGTTCATGTGGGTGAGTGGAATGTGTAACGATGGTAGGCGTGTCTGAGAGTGGTTCATGGTGGGTGAGTTGGGAATGTGTGCGATAGTAGGCGTGTCTGAGAGTGCGTTCATGGTGGGTGAGTGGAAGTGTGACGATGGTAGGCGTGTCTGAGTGTGGTTCATGGTGGGTGATGTGGAATGTGTGACGATAGTAGGCGTGTCTGAGAGTGCGTTCATGGTGGTGAGTGGAATGTGTGACGATGGTAGGCGTGTCTGAGAGTGCGTTCATGGTGGGTGAGTGGAATGTGTGACGATGGTAGGCGTGTCTGAGAGTGCGTTCATGGTGGATGAATGGGAATGTGTTATGATGGTAGGCGTGTCTGAGAGTGTGCGTTCATGGTGGGTGAGTTGGAATGTGTGACGATGGTAGGCGTGTCTGAGAGTGCGTTCATGGTGGATGAGTGGGAATGTGTTATGATGGTAGGCGTGTCTGAGAGTGCGTTCATGGTGGGTGAGTTGGAATGTGTGACGATGGTAGGCGTGTCTGAGAGTGTGTTCATGGTGGGCGAGTTGGAATGTGTGGCGATGGTAGGCGTGTCTGAGAGTGCGTTCATGGTGGGTGAGTTGGAATGTGTGACGATGGTAGGCGTGTCTGAGAGTGCGTTCATGGTGGGTGAGTTGGAATGTGTGACGATGGTAGGCGTGTCTGAGAGTGCGTTCATGGTGGGTGAGTGGGAGAGTGTGTTGTCATAGGTGTAGTCATGGTAGGGTTGAATTACCGACAATACGTTTGGTAAAAGGACACATTTATGACAAATATTATGTTTTATTGAAACAACGTTTCGCTCTCCAGGAGCCGCGGCAAAAGCTCCTAAAGAGCGAAAAGTTGCCAGAATAAAATGTTACATTAGCTGCTCATGTTTTCTTTTACGAAACTAATTATAAGTTATACCAGATTTGTTGGCTTATTAAGTACGGTAATGTATATGAATGTCATCCGTAAACTACTAGTCAAGAATAACTGAATGTCATCCGTAAACTACTAGTCAAGAATAACTGAATGTCATCCGTAAACTACTAGTCAAGAATAACTGAATGTCATCCGTAAACTACTAGTCAAGAATAACTGAATGTCATCCGTAAACTACTAGTCAAGAATAACTGAATGTCATCCGTAAACTACTAGTCAAGAATAACTGAATGTCATCCGTAAACTACTAGTCAAGAATAACTGAATGGCTATCATCCGTAAACTACTCACAGCGTTTATCGTCAAGAATTACCTGAATTGGTACTCTGATTAAAACTGCTAGTCCACGAATAACTGAATGGCATCCGTATAATCCTCCTTAGTCCCTAAAATAATAATGTCTCCGTTTTAAAAATAACAACAGTCGTATATAACTGAATGTATCCGTAAGCATCAGTATCAGTAATAAGAATGGATCCGTAAACTACTAGTCAAGAATAACTGAATGGCTAGCATGCTCTCAGCGTTTATCCCCTCAAGGAAGGTTGCTTGATGTTGGTGAGGGGCTCTTGATTTAGGGAATTAGATCTGTGCTCCAGTTCCCCGAATTAAGCCTGAATGCCTTCCACATCCCCCCCCCAGGCGCTGTATAATCCTCCGGGTTTAGCGCTTCCCCTTGATTATAATAATAATAATCTCAGCGTTTATAAACTGAGAAACACACCTGTCGGTTTATATACCTTTCAATGGATGGAAGGCATTCAAGTATTCAGGTTCATTTCAAGGAACTGGAGCACAGATCCAATTCCTTAGATCAAGAGCCCCTCACCAGCGTCAAGGAACCTCTCTTGAGGGGTCCTGCAGTAAAAATACCTTGAGGTTTATAGAAAAATAGAAAATTAATATAATTTATTGGCATATATAAATAAGGGAAGACCATTTGCATCAATACATTATTAATACCTGTAATTCTTGCATTATGCAATTATTCTGATAATTATTTCATGTGACACTACTGTGTGGTAATATTTTTTTAACACATCGGCCGTCTCCCACCGAGGCAAAGTGATCCGAAAAAGAATGAACACTTCCAACATCATTCACTCCATCACTGTCTTGCCAGAGGTGCGCCGATACTACAGTTCAGATGCCCCTCCAAACAGTAAATATCTCCACCGCTCCTTCAGAGTGCAGGCATTGTACTTGCCTCCTCCAGGACTCAAGTCCAGCTAACCAATTTCCTTGATTCCCTTCATAAATTTATTTTTATTATTATTATATTTAGTGAGAAGCGCTAAACCCATGAAGATCATTGCAACACCTAGTGTCAGCATAGTTGTTGATCCCCTACATGTCGTGTGGCATATCTGAGTATCATAGTTAGTACCATCCATATGTATTATATAGACGACCCTTGCTAGACTTAGCGGCAGCGTCCAGGCACCTCTCTGGGTTTAAATGGGGTAGAAATTCTTTTCACACATCTTGTGATGTTTTTTTTTTTCAGTGGATCAGAGAGCCCGGGGCAGGTGCTGGTCTAATGGTATTAAGTCAAACTCAAGGATACTAAAACCCTCGTCAGAAATTTTCCTATTTCTCCTGAGAGACAAGAATCCTACCTCGACCTGTTATTCCAGTAGACATTGCCAGCTATAATTACAGCAGTATACGTTATGTGTAGTGATCAGCTGGATTTTTTCTAAGGTACTTATTACAACATTGCTGACTAATTTTTTTTCTATTTCTCTTAAGACAGAAGTTGACGCTCACTGAGTTACCTGGAGCCTAACTAAAGTCGAGTTTCGGGGGGTTAGAGGCCAGGTCCTAGACCAACCTCCGCGTGTTTAGTTCAAATAGACCTTTGTCAGAAAACAGGGGGCGGTATACTGAACTACAGACAGTTGGGAAGCTATGTGCAAGCAGGTAATCTACACCTGTTCCCAAGGGAACACGTCAAAAGACTCTGTAATTGAAAAGGCTGAATTAAGATCGAACGTAAGATACCAACTAAGACAGTCTATTAGTGTAGATAAATGGTTCAGAGAACCGACAATTTGATAAATTAGACAATGTGTAACACTTAGGGATCTTTATAGAGGAAACGTTTCGCCACATAGTGGCGAAACGTTTCCTTAGTACAAAAAAGTATGGTGAGATCAGAAGGTATTTGAGGTAATCAGTCCCTCAGCCTGGGGTTGATATATTATTATTTTTATTTCCAAAGAGCAGAGCTGAGCCGCCTCATAGGGGTCACATAGCGCATGGGAAAATGGATGATAATCAGATTTGATCCAAGGGCATGGTAACTCCAATTTCTTGGATCAAAATCATCACCATAATACATTGTATTCAATATCGGAGGGGAATGACTGCCGCATCTCTTGCTGTCTTCGATACCATGTCTGTATCGAAGAAAAAAAGGCCACCAGTTTTCGAAACGTCATCAAATAAAAATCCCCAGGTGTCCCACATATGTTGAATTCCTCTTCTTGGATCAGGAGCCTTTCACCGACATCAGTTAACCACTCTTGAAGGGTAACAAAGAAATAGTGCTCTTGAATCACGCTGGTAATAACAAACTCTGGTTTATACTAAACCAGAAGAATTGGTTAAGAAACGAAGTTCCAGCGGCAGTTGCCATAAAAAAAAATGAACAAGTGAGCGAGCCTAGCCATTTCCATGATATATTTCCGAGGCGTTGTATGTAGCTTTCCATGTGGTAGTTTTGTATGTGATTGTTTTGTATGAGGTAGCTTTGTATATAGTAGCTTTGTATATGGTACTTTTGCATAGGGTAGCTTTGTATATGGTTATTTTGCATAGGGTAGCTTTGTATTTGGGAGATTTGTATGTAATAGCTTTGTATATGGGAATACCTGAAGCTTCCAGGTTCCCACGTGGTCAGCAGCCCAACAGAGAGTTACCGGAGCCTCCGCGCACCACCTGGTCAGCAGCCCAGCAGAGAGTTGCTGGAGCCTCCAGGGCACCACGGTGGCCGCATGTGGGCCATGACAGAGGCCCTGGCATTCTGGTAGCCACGGAGAGGTTCTCGTTCCTCCACCTTGTCCAACCATTCCTCGTAGGCCTTCAGTGCCTCCGTCGAGCGTGCTATTCGCCGTTTCGCTTCCGACGACTTCTCCAGTTGCGAGTCCATGCTGCGGAAAGATGACCAAGTAATTAAATAAGACACATAAAATAAGCTTTCCAGAAGCTCAACAAATGACCATACAGGCAGTCGCCGAGTCTGTGGTTCTGAGGGCAGACATGTTATAAATAAGCTTTGTTGATAAATTTAGGAAGGGAGAGCAGTTGCAACTAATTGGTTCAAAAAAGGCCAATGGAGCGAAATAATGATGAAAACGTAAGTTTTATTGCCCTGAGCGCTGACAACGGACAACTGCTAACTTTTTGAGGATAGGAAGACTACCTCGTTGACTTCTCTAACAAATGCTTGCACTGTTATGTGGATAGTTGAACACCTGACCACAAGAATAAGAAATTTTTATATTTGTGGTTTAAAAACAAAAAAGACAGATGAATATGACACATGTGCAACGTGGAGATGTTTCGCCCACCAGTGGCTTTATAAATACAATACAGTCAATAATCCTCGAGATGGTGAAAGATATGAATTAGCAGTTTGAGATGATCAGTCCTTCAGCTTTATGAGTCTGATGAAGACGAGGAAGAGTTGAAGAAGTTGTCTGATCCAACCAGACTGATGGACCGAACTTTTCCTATCAAGGTTGAGGGACTGATCACCTCAGACTACTACTTTATGTCTTCCACCATCTCAGGATTATTCTCCATAATGGACTGATAAAAACCACTGGTTGACGAAACGTCTCCACAGTAAAGATGCCAAAGGTTTAATTTTTACTTCTCATTTTGTGAGTGAAAGTGGCTCTCCGAAAGATGCAGTACGGTTAAGCTCAAATAGATGGCGCATCAGTTATTTGGGAATGTGCTCATCTTTTTCCTTTTGGCGATGTCCAATAAATTTGCCTCTAAGAGGAAAATCTTACTCACATATATTTCCTCATATTCTCGTGGGCCTCTTGCAACTTGTTCCTCCTCCAGGCCTCGAAAGCCAATTCTGCACCTTGCTTCTTATCTAGTTCCTCACGCTCCTTTTCCCTCCTCAATTCCTCTTCTTCCTCTTTCTTTTTTCTTCGCTTTTCTTTCTCTTCTTCTATTTTCTGCTGCTTCCACATCTGGAACACCTGAAAGTTAATAACAAGGGCAATTAAATCTCTTTTCCTGAAAACTGTATATAAATCATCATTCGTCTCAACATGTTGATAAATTAGACACATGTGCAACTCTTGGGTATCTTTATTGAGGAAACGTATCGCCACACAGTGGTTTCATCAGTCCATACAAAGGAGAATCGTGAAGAACAGGAGGAGAATGAGGTAATCAGTCCCTCAACCTTGAGTCGATGTGGTCAGTCCATCAATCTTGAATAGAATACAGCATATGAGGGGAGAAGTGGCTTATATTCTATTCAAGATTGACGGACTGACCACATCGACTCAAGGTTGAGGGACTGATTACCTCATTCTCCTCCTGTTCTTCACGATTCTCCTCTGTATGGACTGATGAAGCCACTGTGTGGCGAAACGTTTCCTCAATAAAGATACCCAAGAGTTGCACATGTGTCTAATTTATCAACATGTCGGTTCTCTGAACCATTCATCTGCAATCGTCTCAGCATCATAACAGTAGGTGGCATTGAAATATCGATATAGATATAATGTGTTGTATATCACACACACACAGTCAACAAATGGAAGCTTTATTTAAATTAACACAACGTTTCGCCTGCACAGCAGATTTTACCAAGTCTGATAACGACTGCTGTGTATGTAAAACGTTGTCTAAAAATAGTGTCCAAGAGTTGTCTGACTTTATGAGCTACAAAATACTTCAACTGTGGTAATATACAATGGCTCTTAAAAGCATATAAAACAGAAGACAGACCCTCCACCATTTCTTGTGCTGTACGAGTCGCATAAACCATACCCCCGGCCGGGATTGAACCCGCGGTCATAGAGTCTCAAAACTCCAGCCCGTCGCGTTAGCCACTAGACCAGCTAGCCAAAATAAGATTCATCCAACTAGGTATATTTCTACACCATAGGAAGGTTAGCACAGGCACCTCTGTAACCACAAATGCAAGTTTTTACAGACGAATCTCCAGCTAGCGTGGCCGTGACGAACTCTAGCTCAAGTCCCAGGTGCCTGTGCTAACCTTCCTATGGTGTAGAAATATACCTAGTTGGATGAATCTTATTGTGGCTAGCTGGTCTAGTGGCTAACGCGACGGGCTGGAGTTTTGAGACTCTATGACCGCGGGTTCAATCCCGGCCGGGGGTATGGTTTATTTGCAATCGTGTCATTACGATTTCTTAAGTCAAGTCGAGTCGCATAGATTTAGCTCATCGCATAGAATAAACAGACATGAGCAAATATAATTGTCATGTATTCACTTATATCACGTAAACACAGCAAGGATTGAGACACCAAGATAAGCGTGATCCCCAATTAGATATTAACTACGAAGCGGTTACTTTACTGTGCATCTGTTATCCATTCTGTGGACGGTTGTAAATGGTATGGTCATGCCAAAAAACTGTGGAAAAATAAATGTCGTGAACCGTAAAAGGTGTCTTTCTCCATATACTGTAACGTGGACGGGAGAGCAAATTTTAAAAACATTCGGAAAAACTAGGAACTAGGCTCCAGAAGCGCTAGCAGGAAAACAGTATGCTTGTAGCGTTTCCCCCTCAAGGAAGGTTCCTTGATGTTGGTGAGGGGCTCTTGATTTAGGGAATTGGATCTGTGCTCCAGTTCCCCGATTAAGCTGAATGCCTTCCACATCCCCCCCAGGCGCTGTATAATCCTCTGGGTTTAGCGTTTTCCCCTTGATTCTAATAATAATAATTGTAGCGTATTTCTTTTGATGTGTTTGCACCCGGAGCAGCAGTGCACATACACATGGAAAGTATCTCAGTGTATATAAATTTAGAGTTTAATCTTCAATGGCTCATATTGAGTGTTATTCATGATTTGTGAAGAATTGATTACATGCAGCCTTAATAACCCTCGCGTAGTCGATAGGCTGTAAATCCAACTAACCAACCAACCTATTCATAATGTTGCCTACCGAAAATGCAAATTTTGTGTTAGGGTTCCGTCATGGAGAGGTAAACTAACCATTTCTGATTCTTTTTTATCAGAGCACTTCTTTCTTTCTTTCTCTCTCTGCGCCTCTGCTTCTAATCTCTTCTTCTCTCGTCTCATTCTTGCCAGTTCATTCTTCTCCATCTCCCAGGCAATTACTGCAGCGGTCACCTTCATTTGCGTCTCTTCCTTCAACCGTTTTTCCTTGTCCTTCTTATGTGCTTCCTCTTTTAGTTTTTCTCTCGCCTTTATCTTTTGCTGTTTCTTCTTCTCCTCCCATTCGGATACGGCAGCTCTCACCTTTACCTCCAGATCCTTCTTCACCTGTAACAAGAATTCAGTACTCGCTTGCGGAAGAAAAATTAATTTCAGAACAGACTCACCTGAAGACTGGTATTCTACAGCCCCAGGAAAAGTAAGCAATTCAAGTTATGCGAATTTTTATGTGCAGATTTTTAATTCTTCATCAAAACTAACTTAAATGTCTACCCTGACCTTGCTCAGATTTACGTAATGTAAGGTAGTGTAATTTACCTATCCTGTCTGAGAATTCTCTTAAATTTCCTTCACTGCTTTACTTAGGGAGAGGTGTGGATTTTCAGGTTCCAGCTATATTATTATTATTATTATTATTATTATTATTATTATTATTATTATTATTATTATTATTACACTCATGGGAAAGTGTTATGACCTTCGTGTAGTCGATAGACTTAAAACCCCAGTCCTCAAATACTGATAATTTGGATATTTCACCTACCTTTTCCTTTTTTCTTTCTTCTTCCATAATTTTATCTTTAGCCTTGAGTTTGTTAGACCTTATCTCTTTACACCGTCTGAAGTACCACTCCTCGTACACTGCCTGGCTCAGTGTGGCTCTCTGGCACTCATCTGATGGCACACACACGCGTCACTCCCTTCCAGTACTCAAAAACTATCAGGCATTTGTTGTTATATTAAAAGCTCTACTATTGTTGTTATCCATACAATTATCATTATGTTGCTATAATTAGAATGAAATGCAATTTTATCAAGTATATTCAAAGTTTACAGATTATATTTGATGTTCCAGCTAAGTATGTTTGATGTTAGAGTTAAGTATATCTCATGTTCCTTCTAAGAATATCTGACGCTCCAGCTAAGTATATACGTACACAATAGTGTAAAATAACACTACTCATTAGCACAAATAAACTTGCAAACAATAAAATAGAATATTAACTTCCAGTTTCAGGGACCGAGAGTTCTTAAAATTACCCAGAATAACGACACCCCACTCCCCGTGTGAGACACCTCCTTCCCTCCCTGGACAGAGCTAACTCACTAGACACTCCTCGTGAGTAATAAGATCACCTGGACTCACCTATTTTGAGTTCGTGGAGTGCGTCAGGAGTGTTGACCTGAGGTATAACGCGGGTGACATCTTCCAGGGAGGTGGTGCGATGTGCCACTCGAGTGTGAAGCTTACCACTGCTCTTCCACGACTGTGACGACCATGACCTCTGCCCAGCCCTGCAGGGAGACCACAACCTCACCTCTCTCTCTCTCTCTCTCTCTCTCTCTCTCTCTCTCTCTCTCTCTCTCTCTCTCTCTCTCTCTCTCTCTCTCTCTCTCTCTCTCTCTCTCTGGCTCTCTCAATTACCACACCATGTAATCTGATCAATTGTCACATGTAACAAGAATGTTGATGCTGATTTAGGCTTTCAAGTCAGTTTTAAGATATCTTCAGGAAACCCTGAAGATATATTTTAAGATATCTTCAGATAATCATGATAACATGCTTCAGGATATCATCAACTAGTCTTGACAATATGATTTAGGATATCTTCAGGCTGTCCTGATGAAATACTGTCAGATATCTTCAGGTAATCCTCATAAATCGTTATGTACTTTAAGATATCTTTAGGTAATCCTTATGGTTTACTTTTGGATATCTTAAGGTAGTCTTCAAGTAGTCCTGACGACATACGTCAAGATATCTTCTGAAGCAGCAAGGAAACTTTTCATCATCAACCGTCTCGTCAATTCACACTTAAGTTTTTAAACCTGTGACTCATGCTGATTATGAATTTGCTGAATCAACCAGAAAATAAAAGCAAAGACAGAATGTTGTCTGTCATTTGAAATACTTTTAACATGATTTATAACCCGCAAATAGAAGATTGAAACTCGTGACGACGTTCCGGGGCAACTTGGACCATTAACTAGTCACCCGTTTCGGTCCAGAAGTTTCATTCTCCTATTGGGCCTTTTTATTCTTCATAACTTTTAGGTTAATAATATATATGTCGTTCAGGAGAGTAACTGGTGTGGCAAGCATTAATTTACAGTCATTTAGGTGTCTCTCACAGTTACCTGTGGTCTCTGAGGTGTTGTGAGGGAAGCTTGACCCCCAGCATCTCCAGACTACGGGCGTACTTCCCCAGAGGTCGCTGGCGAGGCTGACCGTATGCACAGCACAGGAAAATAACTAATAATAATTATTGACATTTATCGGAATATAAAATATAGGAATAAAGGAACACTGCTGTTGGTCTACTGGCCAACCTGCTAAGCAGGTTCTATTGGATCGTGCTAGTGAGGTCCACCTGGCCTTGCTAGGCAGGTTCATTTCACAACTGTTCTCGTTCATGCGTATGTCTTAAATAGAAACTTGGTAAGTTATTGTGTACTTTCATCATAAAACTGGAAGGTGGCGGAACACAGCATATTTATATATGGTTTCTAGTCAGCTAGGCCTACTAGATACAAAATAATAATTACTTAACGTATTGCTGATAAATATAATTGTAGGTATCTTAATTAATGTGAAGCGCTAATACCGTAAGGGGGCATACAACGTGTGAGGAATGGGAGATAATCAGGTTTGAGCCAAGAAAGGGAAGGGAAAGGATAGCTGTATTACAAAGGGGCGTTCCTGCCTTACGAATTTATTAACTTTTTTCACTAAGGTATTTGAGGAGGTAGATCATGGTAATGAATATGATATTGTGTATATGGACTTCAGTAAGGCTTTTGACAGGGTCCCACATCAGAGACTATTGAGGAAAATTAAGGCACATGGAATAGGAGAAATTTTTTCCTGGTTAGAGGCATGGTTGACAAATAGGCATCAGAGAGTTTGCATAAATGGGGAGAAATCAGAGTGGGGAAGCGTCACGAGCGGTGTTCCACAGGGGTCAGTGTTGCGCCCCCTGCTGCTCACAATCTACATAAACGACATAGATGAGGGCATAAAGAGCGACATCAGTAAGTTTGCCGATGACACCAAAATAGGCCGTCGAATTCAATCTGACGAGGACATTAGAGCATCCAGAAATTTGATAGACTGATGCAGTGGTCGGAGAAGTGGCAGATGCAGTTTAATATAGACAAATGCAAAGTTCTAAATGTTGGACAGGACAATAACCATGCCACATATAAACTAAATAATGTAGATCTTAATATTACGGATTGCGAAAAAGATTTAGGAGTTCTGGTTAGCAGTAATCTGAAACCAAGACAACAGTGCATAAGTGTTCGCAATAAAGCTAATATAATCCTTGGCTTCATATAAAGAAGCATAAATAATAGGAGTCCTCAGGTTGTTCTTCAACTCTATACATCCTTGGTTAGGCCTCATTTAGATTATGCTGCACAGTTTTGGTCACCATATTACAGAATGGATATAAATGCTCTGGAAAATGTACAAAGGAGGATGACAAAGTTGATCCCATGTATCAGAAACCTTCCCTATGAGGATAGACTAAGGGCCCTGAATCTGCACTCTCTAGGAAGACGTATAATTAGGGGGGATATGATTGAGGTGTATAAATGGAAGACAGGAATAAATAAGGGGGTTGTAAATAGTGTGCTGAAAATATCTAGCCTAGACAGGACTCGCAGCAATGGTTTTAAGTTGGAAAAATTCAATTCAGGAAGGAAATGGGAAAAGTACTGGTTTGGTAATAGAGTTGTGGATGAGTGGAATAAACTCCCAAGTACAGTTATAGAGGCCAGAACGTTGTGTAGCTTTAAAAATAGGTTGGATAAATACATGAGTGGATGTGGGTGGGTGTGAGTTGGACCTGACTAGCTTGTGCTACCAGGTCGGTTGCCGTGTTCCTCCCTTAAGTCAATGTGACCTGACCTGACTGGGTTGGGTGCATTGGCTTAAGCCGGTAGGAGACTTGGACTTGCCTCGCATGGGCCAGTAGGCCTGCTGCAGTGTTCCTTCGTTCTTATGTTCTTATGTTCTTATTAAAATGGAAAGAATATAAGAATGAAACTATAGGCTCATGCTAGGCAAGTTCAACTCGCACCCACTCTAATGCTTATATCTGTTCGACAACACGATGACGTTAACCTTCGGTTAATTTAAGTAATTAACCTCCAGTAAGGTGTTCACACTGGACTACCAACCATGTCAGCGGTAGCAGCGCTCTTGATCCTAGGTTGTGTGGTGGATGAGTGACCAGGCTCGGGACACCAGCTGTCTGCACTCGACGGCCGCTTTCCACCTGTGTGAGACAGGTTCTCGTAGTAATGTAGCTTTATACAGCAATTGACAATTTACATGTAAGGAAAACACTCCCTCTTGTCCTCTCCAAGTAAAATTTCGCTGGTGAGTGAAAGTCATAAACAGAGTAAAATGTATATTTGACGACGTTTTGCCCACTGTGAGGCTTCGTCAAGTAAATAACAAGTTGTTAGGTAAGACACATATGCAACAGTTAGGAATCTTTATTTCGAAACGTTTCGCCTACACAGTAGGCTTCTTCAGTCGAGTACAGAAAAGTTGATAGAAGCAGAAGAGACTTGAAGACGATGTAATCAGTCCATCACCCTTATAGTTTTGAGGTGGTCAGTCCCTCAGTCTGGAGAAGAGCATTGTTCCATAGTATGAAACAATATGGAGATGAAGTGACAGGATGGAGCCTTATATAGCGCCAAGAGGTGACCTGCAATCAACTTCGTACAGACCTCTACTAGTGAGAACGGCTGGATTTGAGAGGGACCTGACCTCCCAACATCTGAGTTCTTACCTCTTCTAGTGACCTACGTCTCACCTCTTGGCGCTATATAAGGCTCCATCCTGTCACTTCATCTCCATATTGTTTCATACTATGGAACAATGCTCTTCTCCAGACTGAGGGACTGACCACCTCAAAACTTTAAGGGTGATGGACTGATTACATCGTCTTCAAGTATCTTCTGCTTCTATCAACTTTTCTGTACTCGACTGAAGAAGCCTACTGTGTAGGCGAAACGTTTCGAAATAAAGATTCCTGACTGTTGCATATGTGTCTTACCTAGCAACCTGTCGGTATTTTATACCATTTTAATGTTCAAGTAAATAACAACTCTACAATAAGAGCAAAACGTTATTATATAAAAGTCTTCATCTGTTCATGTGATTTAAATTTACCAATAGTCAGGTATCTCCGTCTACTATCTAATATACCTACTGCTGTAACTATAATCTTAGTGTGCAGTGTAATCTTACCCTGTGTAGATGACCTTTCTTTGATGGTGATAATCTGATTTATTCCCTTGATGTTGGCCGTGAGTTGTGGTCCTCTAGCAGTGCGTGTTGATCTTGGGGAGGCGGCGCCCCTGGTACTACAAGGTGGTCTAGGAGACGCAGAGTCCCTGGCGCCCCTGGTTGTAGCCGGTCTGTCGTGGACTGGTGTTCTAGTCACCAGCAGCAGTGGCGCATCCACGGTGGGGACCAGGCCTGTTGCCTCCCTTCTGGCCATGGCCCGGGCAACCACAGTGTCTGGGCCACAGCAAAAAACAAAATAGCCTTTAAGGGAGAATAATAGCAACACTAAATGTATTTTATTTTTCATAAAGACGAAGCATAGAGAATATTTTTATTATATATATATATATATATATATATATATATATATATATATATATATATATATATATATATAATATATATATATATGTCGTGCCGAATAGGTAAAATTTGTCGTTTAGCAAGAACTCACTTATATTTTTATTCATTTATGCTAACGAAAAAAAATAATAATTTTGTACCAAAAGAACCTTAGAAAACTTACCTAACCTTATTATAACAACCGCAATTTAATTTATCCTAATCCAACTAAATATATTTTAGATAAGTTTATAATAATTTAATAATAAATAAACACAATGAAATATTTTTTTTATTAGGTTCATATTGACTTTAGCGAAATTACTGCATACACAAATTTTCGCTTACCTTACATAAATATTTATATAAATTTATATAAATTCTATTTCTGCGGAATCCTGTTTGTCGGTGACCTTTGTATCCAGTATATTTACAGACGGTCATTATAATTTTTCAGAATTTGTTCCTATATAGAACTGCACTCTATTTTTAGTCTACGCTCATTAAACGTTGTTACAAGACTATACTATTTACGCTGCATTAATGTTTTGCCTCGCTGACATTTTGAGCAGCCGGGGGAGGAGGGGTTACAGTAACCTCTCAGCCGGGGGAGGTGGGGGTTACTGTAACCTCTCAGCCTGGGGAGGTGGGGGTTACAGTAACTTCTCAGCCGGGGGAGGTGGGGGTTACTGTAACCTCTCAGTCGGGGGAGGTGGGGGTTACTGTAGCCTCTCAGCCGGGGGAGGTGGGGGTTACAGTAACCTCTCAGCCGGGGGAGGGCGGGGGTTACTGTAACCTCTCAGCCGGGGGAGGTGGGGGTTTCAGTAACCTCTCAGCCGGGGGAGGTGGGGGTTACTGTAACCTCTCAGTCGGGGGAGGTGGGGGTTACTGTAGCCTCTCAGCCGGGGAGGTGGGGGTTACAGTAACCTCTCAGCCGGGGGAGGTGGGGGATACAGTACGCTCTCAGCGGGGGAGGTGGGGGTTACTGTAACCTCTCAGCCGGGGGAGGTGGGGTTACAGTAACCTCTCAGCCGGGGAGGTGGGGGTTACTGTAACCTCTCAGTCGGGGGAGGTGGGGGTTACTGTAGCCTCTCAGCCGGGGGAGGTGGGGGTTACAGTAACCTCTCAGCCGGGGGAGGTGGGGGATACAGTACGCTCTCAGCCGGGAGTGGGGGTTACAGTAACCTCTCAGCCGGGGAGTGGGGGATACAGTACGCTCTCAGCCGGGGGAGGTGGGGTTACTGTAACCTCTCAGCCGGGGGAGGTGGGGGTTACAGTAACCTCTCAGCCGGGGGAGGTGGGGGTTACTGTAACCTCTCAGTCGGGGAGGTGGGGGTTACTGTAGCCTCTCAGCCGGGGGAGGTGGGGTTACAGTAACCTCTCAGCCGGGGAGGTGGGGGATACAGTAACGCTCTCAGCCGGGGGAGTGTGGGGTTACTGTAACCTCTCAGCCGGGGGAGGTGGGGGTTACAGTAACCTCTCAGCCGGGGGAGGTGGGGGATACAGTAACGCTCTCAGCCGGGGGAGGTGGGGGTTACAGTAACCTCTCAGCCGGGGAGGTGGGGGATACAGTACGCTCTCAGCCGGGGGAGGTGGGGGTTACTGTAACCTCTCAGCCGGGGGAGGTGGGGGTTACAGTAACCTCTCAGCCGGGGGAGGTGGGGGTTACTGTAACCTCTCAGTCGGGGAGGTGGGGTTACTGTAGCCTCTCAGCCGGGGAGGTGGGGGTTACAGTAACCTCTCAGCCGGGGGAGGTGGGGGATACAGTACGCTCTCAGCCGGGGGAGGTGGGGGTTACTGTAACCTCTCAGCCGGGGGAGGTGGGGGTTACAGTAACCTCTCAGCCGGGGGAGGTGGGGGATACAGTACGCTCTCAGCCGGGGGAGGTGGGGGTTACAGTAACCTCTCAGCCGGGGGAGGTGGGGGATACAGTACGCTCTCAGCCGGGGAGGTGGGGGTTACTGTAACCTCTCAGCCGGGGGAGGTGGGGGTTACAGTAACCTCTCAGCCGGGGGAGGTGGGGGTTACTGTAACCTCTCAGTCGGGGGAGGTGGGGGTTACTGTAGCCTCTCAGCCGGGGGAGGTGGGGGTTACAGTAACCTCTCAGCCGGGGGAGGTGGGGGATACAGTAACCTCTCAGCCGGGGGAGGTGGGGGTTACTGTAACCTCTCAGCCGGGGGAGGTGGGGGTTACAGTAACCTCTCAGCCGGGGGAGGTGGGGGTTACAGTAACCTCTCAGCCGGGGGAGGTGGGGGTTACAGTAACCTCTCTTGTAAACCTCTTCTATACAGTGTGATTGTTTTGTAAATGCAGCTGAAAAGGTACATCCAGAAATGAACAGTACTTTGACTGTCTTACCACGCGGTGTTTCAGTCGTAGTTCCACAAAAATTCTATTGAATAGTGGAGCTTGATAAGAAAGTTTAACCTGTGTGTGTGTGTGTGTGTGTGTGTGTGTGTGTGGGTGTGTGTGTGGTGTGTGGTGATGTGTGTACCCAACCTATTGTACTCACCTAGTTGAGGTTGCAGGGTCGAGTCCTGACTCCAGCACCCTCTTCACTGGTTCGCTTATAGTCACTCTCCTGAACCGTGAGCTTTATCATACTCTGCTTAAAGCATATGTATGGATCCTGCCTCCACTACATCGCTTCCCAAACTATTGACTTCTGACTACTCTGTGGCTGAAGAAATACTTCCCTAACACCCTGTGATTCAACTGTGTCTTCAACTTCAATGTGTACTCTGTTGCTGTGTCCACTCTGAAACATCCTGTCTTTGTCCAACCTTGTCAATTCCTCTCAGTATTTTGTATGTGTTATCATGTCCCTATCTTACCTGTCCTTCATGTACGTTAGGTTGATTTTCACTTAAGCCTTTCCCTAGGCACAACCTTTAACTCTGATTAGTCTTGCGAAACCTTTTGCACTTTCTCTAGTTTCTTATCACGTGCTTGCTAGTGTGGGTTCCATAACTGGTGCTCGCATACTCCAATATGGCCTAACGTACACGTGTACAAGATCTCCTGCAACGATTCCATGATTAAGATGATCGGGAATGGCTGTTCTGAGGTTGCAGCGGCCATATGCGTGCAGCAGTGATTTGGTTTGAATGCGTTCAGGAGATTGCCCTGTGTTATAATCACTCCAAGATCTTTTTCCTTGAGTGAGGTTTGTATCTCGGCCCCTAGACTGTACTCCGTCTGCGGTCTTCTTTGCCCTTCCCCAATCTTCATGACTTTGCACTTGTGTGTATGTATGTGTATGTGTGTGTGTACGCGACTCAGAGCTTGTGTCCAACATAACTCCACTATATAAATACACATCAGCTGAAAGTTGCACACAAGCCTTGACATCCAAGATTATTACTGTTATTTGAATAAATAATTTAGAAAACCGACAACATCACTTGTCCACTAATTTATAATCTTTATTATGGAAAAATAATGATTCACAAGTGTTGCACAAGTTTCTTATTTATCATATTACTGTTGTATTTTGGGGAAGCGCAAGACCAGTATGGGGCCTATACAGTGACTGGGGGATGAGAGGCAAGCAGATGTGATCCAAGGAAGCGGAGCGCGGCTTCAGCCCCAACATTGACGGATGATGAGTTACGTGTTTGTTATATATATATTTGCCACTTAGAATTTGATTCTAATAATGAAGTCTTTGAAATATTTTATTTTAGTTATTATACTGTAGTTATTATTATTATTTATTATTATTATTATTATTATTATTATTATTATTATTATTATTATTACAATCAAAAGTAAGCGCTAAACCCACAAGGGTCACACAGCTTAACTTTAATTAGAATACTTAAGGACAACGTATGTTGTTTCCTATTTCTTCTTATAACCTGTGTTTTATTAAGTTATTAGTTAGATAATTATTGGCAACTGCTACAAACATCAACTACAAATCAAATAATGCCAAAAGTGTAAAAATAAATACCTCCGCCAAGCGTGTCATCATGCAGGAGTGTGGAGGAGGACTGTGATCTGAGGAAAACTTCCATGGGACTGTTAGCTGAGGTGGGGCGGAGTACTGAGGTGGAGGCTGGTGCAGGTGTTGAGGAACAGGTGGGGGAAGGAGACCCATTGAAAAGGTTTTCCAGCTCTTCACTCTCGTTGCCACCATCACCGTCTTCCGCTTCATCATCGCTCTCACTTTCTTCTCTCTCTTCTTGCACGTCCTCTTGTATGTCGTCTTCCTCGTCGTTTACACTGTTTTCTCGGCTTTCACTGTCTCCACCGTTCGTATCACTCGCAGAGGACTCGCTTTCGTCGTTCGAGTATTTATCACCGTCACTGCTGTTGTCCTTAGGATCCTGAGCTTGAGTGTCTTCCAGCTTGCCTGCCTTGGGCTCACTGCCAGCGTCCTCATCCTCAAAAAAGTCATCACTGCCTGAACTTGACATGAGAAAAGTCAGGAAGCAGCTTCAACCCTAAACATATTAGAGGAACAGCGACACACATATACACTACGTGCACAGTTTATTAAAACTTATTTTCACCAAATCGGGTTTGTGAAGCGTCACAAATACGCCAGTGATAAAAGGTAATTCGTGCTCAACATTACTTCCTACGCGCATTTCAAACACGAGTTGTGTATTATTAGTAGGTTCGTTAATACATTCTATGGAAATGAAATTGCAGGAAACATTCTAAATCGACAAGGTAACACGGATCTATTTGGATCAGCTTTGTTTTGTCCTTTTGTCAGAACCTGTTGTCATGGAAACGAACAATATGTTGATGCAACGCAAGATGTTTAAAGTTGACGCCGATGTACGAGTTGGTATACATACATACATACATACATACATATATATATATATATATATATATAATATATATATATATATATATATATATATATATGTATTATATATATATATATATATATATATATATATAATATATATATAATATATATATATATATATATATATTATTGTACCCTCGAACAAGTGGTGTTGATCAATAACAACATTGCGACTAGTCAAGGAGTCGAACCCATGCTGCTTTGGCCTGAGTTATAGTGGGCGAAAACTCGTGACGCCACAGAACCACCCAATCCTTAAGAGTAGTGCATCCAGCAGAACTGGGTGTTGTACTCGCTACCCAACGACATACGGTGATGTGGATGACTCTAGCCTAATTTCATTCTAGTCCCTGTTTGGTGTACTAGTACAACGAGCAGTATTCTATATTAAGGATCGTATGGTCCAGTGGATTAGGGCGTCATGTGTTTTCGCCCACCATGAGGCAGGCCAAAGCAGCATGGCGAGTGCAGTGTTGTTATTGATCAATATCACTTGTGAGCGTGTTCGATAGGAGTGAATGGAGACGAATGGTATTTGGGACCTGACGATCTGTTGGAGTGTGAACAGGGTAATATTTAGTGAAGGGATTCAGGGAAGCCGGTTATTTTTATATAGCCGGACTTGAGTTCTGGAAATGGGAAGTACAATGCCTGTACTCTAAAGGAGGGGTTTGGGATATTAACAGTTTGGAGGGATATGTTGTGTATCTTTATACGTATATGCTTCTAAACTGTTGTGTTCTGAGCACCTCTGCAAAAACAGTGATTATGTGTGAGGTGAAAGAGTTGAATGATGATGAAAGTACGTTTTTGGGGGGGATTTTCTTTCTTTTTGGGTCACCCTTCCTCGGTGGGAGACGGCCGACTTGTTAAATATATATATATATATATATATATATATATATATATATATATATATATATATATATATATATATATATATATATATATATATATATAATATATATATAATATATATATATATAATATATATATATATATATATATATATATATATATATATATATATATATATATGGAGAATGGAGCGAAACAGAATGACTTCAAGAGTGTATCAGTCTGTAGTGGAAGGAAGACGGGGTAGGGGTCGGCCTAGGAAAGGTTGGAGGGAGGGGGTAAAGGAGGTTTTGTGTGCGAGGGGCTTGGTCTTCCAGCAGGCGTGCGTGAGCGTGTTTGATAAGAGTGAATGGAGACGAATGGTTTTTAATACTTGACGTGCTGTTGGAGTGTGAGCAAAGTAACATTTATGAAGGGGTTCAGGGAAACCGGCAGGCCGGACTTGAGTCCTGGAGATGGGAAGTACAGTGCCTGCACTCTGAAGGAGGGGTGTTAATGTTGCAGTTTAAAAACTGTAGTGTAAAGCACCCTTCTGGCAAGACAGTGATGGAGTGAATGATGGTGAAAGTTTTTCTTTTTCGGGCCACCCTGCCTTGGTGGGAATCGGCCAGTGTGATAATAAAATATATATATATATTATATATATATATATATATATATATAATATATATATATATATATATATATATAATATATATATATATATATATATATATATATATATATATATATATACATATATAATATATACATATTATATATATATATATATATATATATATATATATATATATATATATATATATATATATATATATATATATATATATATATATATAATATGTATATATATAAAAGCAACGTGGAAACCACTTCAGTTTAACATGGAACTTTCATCAGCTGTAGTTACATTCATACCACAAAGTTATACTTGAATGTATTTAAAGTGAGTGAAAGTGCTCCAGAACATCTTTAACACCATTCATCACTTCGTATGGACATCCCACATATATCGTTGTCCACTGGGCTATGATTCAGCTTATCCGGAGAAAGGTAATGGGGAAAAAATTGTCTTTTATCTATTTTATCTATTTTACGTGAAACTTGCTCTCTAAAGTGTATTTTGCATTTAATTTAAAGCTTGATTTTTTCCAATATTTTCATGTTAACTGCCATGACTCGGTATGCAGATTCCCTCTAATTGCCTTACAATCACAAGAAGAACCAACAGACGAAGACATTTTCCAGCTTGTTAACCCCGAGAAGCTATTAACCCAGAATATCCCAGGAGAGTTACGTAGATTGTTTATTTCCGTTATGTTCTTTCCGGTCCTCCTTTAAGAAATGATAGACGACAGTTGACTAATTCTCACGTAATATTAGGTATCTCTGAAGATTTACCTTAAGTGATTCCTCATTGTTTCTCTATTCCACAAAACTTTCGTTTTCATTTCGCTCATGACTCGAGAACGCTTCAGTCGGTAATGTTTCAAATTTTCATATTTGTGAACTTTAACTAGAAAAGGTTCATGCTATGCCTAGCATTTGCAGGAGCTAAATGACCAAGGGCATATAACCCATTCTTGAAATGGTTCCTATAACGTTTTTTTTTCCCCGCTTGGCTTACAACAGCCAACTCTGGTGTATTCTACTTAGACGAAAGTGGATCGCGTTAGTGAAGTGTGTAGGTATATATTTACTAATACCTTCACATGATACACACTTACGCCACTTACCTTTGAAACTGTTAATGAATCGTAGTGGAATGTCTGACGATATCCTCTCACCCACATGATAGTAACTCCAGCTCTGCTGGAAGGCAGCCTTTGAACCTGCCGTAGCTACTGAACCACACACCTGGAGTACACCTGGAAAGGGTTTCAGGGTCAACGCCCCCGCGGCCCGGTTTGAGACCAGACCTCGTGGTGGATCAGGGTCTGATCAACCAGGATGTTACTGCTGGCCGCACGTAAACCGACGTAAGAACCACAGCCCGGCTGATCAGGTGCTGCCTTCTTGAAGACAACACACAACAGCATTACATAACACACATTAACACCAAATAAGAAACAATAACACCATACAGCACACAATAGGGACACTCAACACACAATAACGTTACATTACATAGTAACATCTCGTAATACACAGTAACACTACATAACACACACACTAGCACCACAGCACACACAATAATTCCATATAATGCATTAGCAACATCACATAGCACACAGTAACACCACACAACACATAATAACACTGCTTAACGCAATAATACCACAGTTAATTTAACAACTTTATTATGCACCCAATACCCATTTTGTGGGCGGTAGTCAAAGGAATTACACAGGAACAAAACGGGTCCAGGGACTACCACAGGATACAATGATAATACCATATATCACCGAATAATACCATATATCACCGAATAATACCACATAACACACAACGATACCACATAATTAACAATAACACCACATAACACAACACAGTAACACCACACAACACAGTAACACCCCACAACACACGATAGCAATACACAGTAACACCCCACAACACACGATAACGCCGCACAAGCCATAACACAAGATAACCAAATAACACTACATAAAAGCTACATAAAAAAAGCGCATTAACTCTACCCAACGCATAATTTAAAAACTTAAGCCCAAAATACCACCACATAATAACACCATCGACCTGACGACACAGAGGAATCGACAAGGTGGACAGAGACAGGATGTTCCAGAGATGGGACACAGGGGACACAGTTGGAAGTTGAAGACTCAGATGAGTCAAAGGGATGTTAGGAAGTTCTTCATTCATAGAGTTGTTAGGAAGTGGAATAGTCTGGAGAGTGATATAGTGTAAGCAGGATCCATACATAGCTTTAAGAAGAAGTATGATAAAGTTCATGGAGCAGGGAGGGTCACCTAGTAGAGACCAGTGAAGAGGCGGGGCCAGGAGCCATGACTCCACCCCTGCAACCACAGTTAGGTGAATGCAGTACCACTACACAAAACAAACATCACGACACAATACACAATAACACAACGTGGACACACCATAGCACCATGTAACACACAGCAACACTATGTAACACACAATAACACCACGTAACTCCCAGTAATCCAGAAAAATACAGAAAAAATACGTGAACACTTCCCCTCTCTTTTTTCCCTATATCCCTCCTTTCCCTCTCTCTCTTTTTTCCCTATCTCCCCTCTTCTCAGTCACCCTAGCTTCTATCCCCTCTACCCAACCCTTCTTCCCTGATGCTTTCCTCCCTCGATGTCCTGGAGGACGCCCTCACGGACGCCCTCATAGACACATAAATGGCCCCAAAAATGCATGAACGACCGCTTTCTCCGGTTATCCTGGATTAATAATCTCGGTAAAAAGCTTTTAGAATCATTCAGTTTAGTTTACTATAAATTTTCGTTTTCTTTCACAAATACTTTCACAAAAAAATTTATATTTTGGGCTAACTATGAGAAATAATCAGGCGTGTGAGTCATGGGATGGTGGTAATTGGCTACAGTTTTTTTTATTATTCATTTTGTTGTGCGTTTCACAGAACTATCAGACACAAGTGGATATATTACATGAACAGAGTCTGAGGAAGAAGCAACTTTGCATGTACACTATATATATTCTTATGAATACTTATGGCTGTGAAAAATTACTTTGAATCCTGTGCAATTCTTTACCTAAATACTCGTTAACAGTATTATGGAAAATTTTCTAGGGTGATTACCTGTACGTATCTCAACATTGCATGCATACGAGTAATCTCATTGGGAGACAACAACTATATTGTTTACCGTAGTCACCCCGTGTAGACATGTGAGAAAACTTAACCACCTCTGGTCACTGCATGTGGCCCCCTCGACCCTCACAATCTTATCCATATCTATCCGAGACCAGTATAAATTGGATAGCACCCACAAGTACGGCGCTACTAATTAATTGTGGACTGTATAGATTA